CGGACGAGGGAGCCTGTGCCGAAGGAGATTACGGGGTAGTTTGCTTGGGCGAGGCGGAGGTGGGAGACCATTGATCTGTTTGATAGAGGGGTGGTCAGTATGTGTTTTCCTCGACTTTGGGCCATGGACACGATGCGAGGATGCGGGCAGTTCCGTAATGACGTTAAAGAGAAGCTCGAATATGCTCTCGCGTGATCAACAATCGGGCCAGGGGACTCGATTGTATCGTACCTATTTTGGTTACTCGCGCACACCGTACAGAACTTGAGCTTGAAGTCGCTTGAAGAAGAAGCAGCAGCAGCCGCAGCATCGCCGCCATTCGCAGGAGGTACCGTCGAGTTCGCTCCAGCATTTGCGGCTGCTGCGGCGCCGGTGGTGCCATTCGCGACCTCCATGACTTTCGTGGTGATCGATGGGTTTTTGTTTGTGTATGGGTTACTGCGTATGTATGCCGACAGAAAGTGACGATGTTGGGTGGGGCGGGACAAGCAAGCTCGCCAGGTACGGCACGGAGTATAGGTATGTATGGAAGCACGGCGCGGGAGCTCCACGAAGGTAGGAAGTGGATATCAATGGGCGCGCGCGACAGGAAGCAGTCAAAATGGATGGATGATTATGGGAAAAACGTGGGGCCGTCAAGAAGGTCACCAATGGCGGGAACAGGCAGAATAATGTTTAGGTCAGCAAGAGAAAGAAAAATAAAAATCAGCGGGTCGGTTACAGAGAGGGAGGGAAAAGTCGAATCGCCGGTGGTCGTCGCTTCCAGTCGTAGAGGTCGTAGCGAAGAAATCTGATCTGTGTCTCCGAATTAGCCAAATATTCAGGAGACCATGTTTTTAGATGCTCGTAGGCATTAAAGAGGTTTGAGCGCGATTTTTCAGACAAAGCGTATAAGGTAATAAAGTGTCTCAACATGGGGAATTTAGACAGCTCCAATAAAAAGAATCTCATCATGGAAAAGCTCGAAAGAGGACGACCAGTGTTTTCTCTGGCTCGTCGCGAGTCTGTTTTTGTTTCTTACCTTTTGGGGGTGACTTGATCTGCTTCGATCAATGTGCTTCTCTGTGTTCCAACTGTGCCTTCCTGAGAAAGTGTTCGGGAGTGTTGACAGAGTTCTATCTAATCCTCCAGCGATGTCCTGTTGGAAAGCTCCGAGTTCGACGCTGAAATTTGTTGACGGTTGCAAAGATGGAAGAGCCTCAATGACGTTCTTTTTGAGTGAAGAATTGGATAGCTCGCTTTCGGCTGAATGTCGGGCCTTGAAAGCACCCCAGGGCAGGGCGTGACGAGGGCGCCATCGGATTTATGGCCTCAGGCCTTAGGTTCGCGAACCTGACAATGGCACCTTTTGCCTGAGGCTCACTTGGTTCCGTACACTCACAGCCAAAATGACCCATCTCACGTGGCTGTTTGCGATAAACCAACATAATTGGCTCTTAGGCGCTCACATACTCTGAAACAGACGACACCTTGGAGGGCACCAATCAAGACAACTCTAACATTCCCAATTGCAGCTGCCGTGCACGGCGTACATTGTCCAGAAATAGAACAGCCAATGAGTACAGAGACATCTGATGGCGTGGGACGCTCAGCCAGAGAGGAACCAGCCTCCAAAGACTCTGAGAACGGCATTAATTCGAGCCAACTGCTGGTTCTCGAACGGACGAACAAATGTCATATGTGCACATAGTTGAAAGTCGTTGCCAGTATTTGGGTACAGCGATCGTGTGCGAGATGGGGGCCCTTGACCGTTTCGTCCAGTCCTTGAAGGATCCATGGGCTAGGCCTTCTCCCGGGGGATTGCAGTCGGCCCATCAACTATGTGTTGCGGCGCTACTCCGTACCCCTGGGAGGGCTGCCGTAGGGAAGCAGTAGAACTGGATCTGATCATCGGAGGAATATCTGTCTCTCGGGGTTGGCGGGTGGCCTGTGATTCCGTCCGTTCTGAATGTTTTGCTGCGCCCAGCCCAATGCAGCGCTCGCAACTTCCCGCTTCGCCCTAGGCCCAGTCGGGCTGTGCATTATTACTTACGGATACCTTATTCCACTGCAGGGTCGCTTGCGTAGCCTGAGGTGCTGGTTGGTCTCTAGATGTAGGTACCTATGCGTTGACGTACGGTGTCGATGAACCAAGCCCGCCGGCAGGCCGTCCAACAGCAGTTGTTGGCGGCACTCCGACAAAGGACGGGATTCGCTGGCGAATGCAGGCGACGACTGCTTACTGCCTTACACTTTTCCCGCCCTTCTCTGACCACGACAGTTCCATTGTGCTATTGGCAGTGTCGATGACCGCTGTTTCACACGTGGCCGCTGGCAGCGCAAGATGCAGCCGCTGCAAGTTGCAACAAAGTCGTGTCGGGATGTATCCTGCACGGGAGCCCGCCGATCAGCGCTCGAGTTTCGCAACCTCGCCCTATCCGTAGGCCCGTAGGGGCATTCTCATCCACCCTGGTGACTGAAGTCGATACCGCAATTTCGACTGAAGCCCATCCGTCGGCTTGTGGGTTGCCCCACGGTTGGCACTGATGATCGGGAGATGCAGCTAACGAGATAGCGCATGGCTAAGCACAAGATGGCTGTTTGTGCTTCAGGCTGTCCGTTCACTGGAGATTTCCCAGATCTAGCACCCGGCACCATCGTATAGAGGTTTTGAGCATTAAAGTCCAAGTTAGCGAACGCGAAGGAGAAGAGCGTGACGCGGTGCTGGTTATCAATCTTGTGTTGACGTTCTCTGCCCTAGCTAGGTCTGTTCGCGACTTCGCTCAACAATCATGGGATGAGAGAGCGATCAACCCACTCTCAGTCAGTCCAGGCCCCCAGCAGGTGTACTCAAAGATTCCCGCTGTTACGGTTCGGACTAAAAAGCGAGACTCATGTCAGTGGACGACCGCTTCTGGATACTTTGTGATTTGCGCCGGGGACGTCCTCGCTAATCAGCTGTGGGCCGGGCTGCTGTCTGACCTTGGTGCGACCTGAACAGGAATCTACGCCGGCCTATGCTGGAGCACCCAATATTGGTTTCCTTGATGACAGCCCGGCCAAAGACCAAGAATAGCATCTGGCACCGCTTTTGCCTTGTTTGAAGCCTTCTTCCTTCTGTATCTGGTGAAGATTCTAGGCCGTTGCCACGGAGAAAGAGTGGGCGAAAATCAGAGTGTCTAGAAAGAGGATTCCAATTTACATGCCCCCAGCATTCGCCCTTCAGACAAAACGGACGACCCCCTGTTTGCTGCCTGCTCGTCCGTTCCGTGTAGGCCGGAATACACGGTGGGTACCATGGGTAAGTCGGGCCGGAGGTGGTAGCAGTTCTTTGCCCAGATTCTTGCTGGACAAGACCGGAGATCACGGGCGGCTCTGGGAGAATAAAGTTTGAGCTGAAAACGAGACTTCCTAAGGGGAAGTAGGCATCCTATAGTCCATACCCAAGGTGCGGACGGACGGCCATCATAGTGTCAGGTTTGCCTAATGAAGGGTGTGAGACTGAACAACGGACGGTCGAGTCAATTGGGTATTTGCGGGCGGAACATGAAGCAGAGCGAAGCAGCGGCACACGGCCACGCGGGGAAGAGGTCTGCTTCAGCGTCCCGTCCTTGGTGTGCGCGTCCACCGGTACAGTCAGGCTCTTCAGGTTGTAACCGCACCGGCGGCGAACGCGTAGGCACAGTCATCGACAGGGAAGACGATGTGAGGCTTCCGAAGGGATCCCCTTGAGATGATGGCACCGTTGTGGGAAAAAGGGGTGGGGGAAAGAACTGTGAAGTGCGTAATGAGTATCTGCTTCGTCGCTCCCTGATATTAGGGCCGTTGGAAGCTAGAGCACGACGGGTATATCGAAGCCACCCCGACTGCAAGACAGATGCGGATAACTGCGGGAAGATGAGAACCCGTCTGTGGGCTGGAGCAACGACACTGCAAGCAGAGATGAGCAGCAGTCAAGTGAGGAACATGAGGCAGTACACACCAAGGTAGGTAACTACCTCGCCTGCAGTCCCACTGACAGCTCAATGTACCTTGAGTTCTGCGCGGCGGAGGAGGGCGTATTCGTACACAGGCGGGGGACATCAAGCCCCCGTGCCCTGCCCGCGCAGGCGAACAACTGAGAGCGCTTGTGTAGACGACAGAGGAGAGAGAGAGGAGCAGTGGCAGACGTACTTGAGATTTGAGGTTGCCCTGGGGCGTGTTGAAGTTGGTGGTCTTGGCGTTACCATGTTGAACCGGACGGACCCCTGCAAAGCAGCTGCACAGCATCTGGAGACATGGAGCTGTTACTGTTTTTCTGACAAGTCTCCAGAACATGATATCCACGAGGGCGTGTAGGACGACGGAGGATGTGCCTTTCTAGTTCAGATCTGACGTTGGCAACCGCAGTGTGCTGCATATATACGAAATGTGACTTGTAGGGTGGTAGGTATCCGCAATAGAGAAGAAAGGAGGCAAAGAGCATCCCTTCCACACCGGATACGGGTAGAGATCCAGCCAGTTGACGCCGGCCGATTGCAGAGGATGGGAAAGAGACACCGATTGTTGGCGCTGACTCGATTTGGAGCCGAGTTGGGGCTTCTCTCATTATGGCACTGGCATCTGCTGGCTGCTGTGTTCGAGTTTCTTTGAGAGTTCGCCGCCATAATTAATATCGATCCGGATTCAGCCCCCCGCTCTCTCCCACTCTCGCATCTGGGCTAGGTATGCCTTCCAATGCCTGACGCACTCCTGGATCCTGCGCTGTCGTTGCTCTTGTTCCCGCCTGCTGCTGTCAATCGTTTATTGCTGTAGCCTTTCCTTCCACTACCTATTTGATCTTACTAGAAGAAAGTCATCAGCCTCTTCCTCTCTCTTAGGGTTCTCCCAAGAGTCCTAATCCATACTCCCCTCTCCTTCTCCTTCTCTACCGCTCTCGGCCTCTTACTCACGCCCGTTTGTTGTGCTGGCCTTTGTCTCCTCCCCTCCCATCAATTCCCCCCTCCTTCTCTGCCCCCCCCTCTCTACCTTAGGTATTCACATCAACCACCCCTCACCCCCCTTCCCGCCAGGTCCAACTGCACACAGCCAGTAGGATCACTGCGCGACGCGCTTAGAAGCAGCAAGGTGCAGTCCCAGTGCGTTGGAGGTTGATGGTCAATGGTCGATGCCCACTGTCTGTTCTTCGTCCCTCGCTCTCCAAGACCGAAACTCAAAAAGTAGCTGGAGTTAGTGGAAGGGGTAAGTGGTCCGCTCACAGGTCCTGATGCCAACGTTGGAAAAAAAGACTCTGGTGTTGCTTGGGCTTGGCCGTACTCCGTACTCCCCATAAGGTGCTCGCTCACTGACCCAGTTGGTCCTACCAGAAGAAACCCTACGAAAACCAAGTATCCATCCACAGCTGTGGTACTTGGAGATCGTGTCATTGCTCGACGGCCACTAGAGGTAGTTGGGTACATATCTCCGTACCTCGAGGTACCACGGGAATTAGTCGCACCTTCAGTCCAGCGTGGGTCAGCCCAGAGTCCAGAATCCAGAAGTCCAAGAGTCCAGTCAAATCTGTGCTCACTGCTGCATCGTCTGGTGCGAGCAAAGGACGCAAAGGCACGGCCACTTCTACCTGAGCTCTCTGCTCTCTCTGCTCTCTCTCTCTGGATGCGTCGTGGGCTCTGTTGTCTGTTGTCTGCTGACTGAGGAGGTGTTTGCTTGTTGTCTGCATCATTGTAGGTACCTTCCCTGTTGCCTACTACCAGACGACGGGACTTTCTTTTCGAGTACCTTTACCTCGTGCACCATATCGCAATATACCTCTTATTTTTATTTTTCTCTCCCCTACTGCTGGCACCTCACCTCGCAAACCCACCACCACCACCACCTAACCTGCGCGGCACCAGCAAAGAAGCGACGGGGACACTCTCTTTCTTCGCAGCGCAGCGGCTGCCCAGCACCAAAGAAGCAGAGCAGCCAGAACGGCGCCAGCGACCTGAACCCAAACGAACTATTCCCAACCTCACCTTCCCTCCTCTTCCTCCTCTTCCCATCTTCTCCTCTTCCCACCGTTTCTTCTCTTCCTCCCCATCGCTCTCCGCATCCTGTGCTCTTCTTTCTTCCATCTTCATTATTGTCCTGCCTACCCCCGAGCGACCCCGCGAGCCGATCTCATCGCTCGTCCGCTCCCGGCTTTAAGTTCTCAACGCTCCTTACTCGATTTCCAACCCTCAGCGTCGCGTGCGACGACTTTCGTTTTGCGACACCTTGCGAGCAAGCCCGCTTGCTGTTGCTCCGCCTTCTTTTCAAACCCCAACTCTGTTCGTCTTCGCCTTGCTCGGAACTGTGATCCTCGCAGTCTGCCCGCCCGCCCGCACCTCCTCATAGGCTAATCGGCTCCGAGTCGCGGGCAGCATAACTCACGATAACACTCGCGCAAACCCTCAAATTCACAGCCTTGGTCGCTCCCGACACTAGCTGTTGCCAATCGAATTCCTACTACATTTTCCGCGCGACGAGTGCGGTCGACGGTCCTACTGAGCACTTGGCTTGCTTGGTGGCACACGACGCCGCAGGATCCGCGAATCGGGTGCCTGTCATCCTTACGCTGGCTCCTCCACGATTGCGATAATCTCAGAATGACCACACTCTTGTCCCAGAGCTCCTCGCCCGCGACATCCCCACCTGCAGCTGCTTCTCCCTCCACCAACCCGAATCACCCCTCACTACCGCCACTAATAACATCACCACCCAGCCGTCGCTCGACCGCACCGAGACCAATGTCGCACGCTTCCAAAAATCGCTTGTCGCAATACTCGACGGGCTCAGTCCCCTCGCGTTCGCGACCGCCTTCTCACATATTTCCAATGTTTCCCTCGAGTCTCTCCTACACCCTGGTGCGCGATTTCGCATATCCAATTATGCATCCCATGCATTATGGTCCCCCGCCAGAGCCGTCGCATCCTGCTTCTGGCCTCAGCACTCCCCTCAGCGAATCTCGTCGTCTATCCGATCCTCCCGCTGCCTGGGAAACGAAAATGACCTGGAATACTGGCTCCTGGGGCCCAGAGGGCTTCGGCAAGGCCCACGACCTGCCACCCATGGAATTCCGGGATGGCCCACCCTGGAGTGAGGATGAGGATTTGGCGAGCCCTGTTGTCAGCTCCAGGCACCGAAAGCACAAATCTTCCGCAGCAGCCCTTGGCGGCACCGCAGCCGCAGGGCTGAGAAATTCTCGCGACGCGGGCAACGATATGCTGCACCCAGCACACTACGAACAACGGGAACGCGGTTACTACGTCGGAACGAGTGGTGATGGCAGCGAACGGTATTACCTCAACCAAGGAGGTGAAGCGAATGGACCCGGCGGAGAATATGTCACCTACCCTCCCGGCGATGCACGGCATTCCAGCCACGCATACCAGCTAGGTGACCTGCCCCCGCGGCAGTACGCCGAGCAGGAGACATATTCGGATGCTTCAAGCTCCGCATCCTCTCCAGGTTTCCGCGGCGATGACCAGTCACGATATTCCCGGGATTACCAGTTCACCATCACGTCGCCCGACGAAGAAATGCACGGCAAAGCTGTTGCGCTTTTTGACTTTGAAAGAGAGAACGAAAACGAATTGCCATTACTGGAAGGTCAAATCATATGGGTTTCCTACCGCCACGGCCAAGGCTGGCTAGTAGCCGAAGACCCGAAGACTCAGGAAAGCGGACTCGTCCCTGAGGAATACGTTCGTCTGCTGCGAGATATCGAAGGCGGAATGAATAGTCTGACCGGTAATCTTGGCGAGGGCTCTACGTCCCCCAATGATGTTGGAACACCGACGCAAGCAGAGCACCACCCACAAGGTCATACACCGACCGGAAGCCAGTCCTCTTCCAACGGATACCACCAGCCCGTGGTCTCGACGTTCTCTACGTCCAGCAAGGACTTGGACCCGTACCCTACACAGCAGCTTGGCCTTCAATCCGGCCAACCTCCTCCGCAAGTGGTGCATTACCACGGCCAAAGAGGTGGTAGCCAGGCCAACACGCCAACTCTAGCTTCGCACCAGGATATCGGCATGATGCGCCGAGGCAGTCAGGACACTGGGGCGAAGAAGACGGATTCCCAAGTGAGCCCCTTGACGGAGGCGATCACAGAGAGCAAGCTAGTCGACCGATCTAGCACACCCAAAGCAACAAACCCCACCGAGAAACCCGCAGACCCCGACACCATGGACACTGAGCGGTGATGAGAGACGACCAAGAAGCATTCACTCGCGTCTGACTTGAGGGACTTCTTGCTTGGCAGGTTCTCTTCTCCTCTGGGGACCTGTCACGAATCATGTACTATGAGGAACGTTAGGGAGGAGCGTTTCTGGTTTCGGTTTGACGATCAAGAGGCGTACAGTTGTTATATTTCGGGAGACATAAAGAGAGAAGAGCCCCTGGTCGGTCGCTTTCAGCATGTAGCTTGGATGATGGAAAACTTTATGATCAAGGGCCCAGGTGGAGGGACGCATCAATATTGAAAAACAAGGATGAAAGACGGCTTGCTTCGCCATCGAATGCCCGGGACTACGTCAGATCCCCTTTAAAGACGGTGTGGAGTTTACCGTATTTTTAAGTCCACGGCGATTGAAGCTGTCGGCTTGTATATAATAATCGGGGTGATCCCCTGTTTTCTCCTCTTGGGGAATGTCAAGAAACGTTTCTTTAACATCTCTAGCCGATTGTCTTTGTGGATTAATTTGCCTACTGGTGCAAACCGTGGACCAGGTTCACAGCTGGTTCTTGGCCAATGCTTGCGCCCAAATGTGCCTGTTCACTGCTGGCAGAGGTATGGCGCAATTCGTAATGAGCCTTTTGGAGCACGTTGTCCATTCTGCTTAGAAATGCACATCAGTTATCCCCATGGGCTTCCCACCGGCACGCCGCTAACTGTGCCCATCCCCTCGGCCAGTTCGGCGGGGATCGGACGCAGGAAACATGAGCTCACGTGACATTTTACGTCATGCACAGGTCAATGGTCGCCCGGGGAAAGCTTTCCATTGCGGGCGGCTTTGAGCTTCTGTTGCGAGTCTCGGATACCTAAGCTTCTCTCTCCCAGCAGCAAAAAAAACACCCTTTGGTCCATTTCCCAATCACATACCTGTCAATTACCTCTCCCGGCTGCTTGAAAACTTTCAATTGAACCATCACAATGTTTGCCAGAACCGCCTTCAGGGTCGCGCAGCCCCTCAAGCTGGTAAGATAGCTGACGCTGTTCCCTCTCTCTCCATCCTTCGCTCATTGGAAATCCTCGTTTCCCCCCGCGGGTCGCGGAGCGGTTCCCGAGTTGCGATTCCACCCGTTCAAATACATCATACCACCTTTGCCAACATCACAACCCCATCCTGGCCCCTCCCAATGAAACAATGATTTCCTTTTACCCTCTTGAGGCGATAAGCAATGCAAAGGCTAACAAATCTTCTCCCATAACAGCAAGCCCGTCGCTACGCCACCGAGCCCGCCGCCAAGGGCAGCAGCTCCAACACGGCGCTCTACGCCGGCGGCGCGGCCGCCGTCGCGGGCGGCGCCTACTACTTCCTTGCGGGAGGCTCCTCGGGCGCGGCGCAAAAGGCCGAGGCCAAGGTCAAGGAGGCCGTCGGCGCGGCGCCCAAGAAGGCGCTCACGGGCGGCGACCAGGGCTTCGTGTCCCTGAAGCTCGAGGACTCCGAGATCATCAACCACAACACCAAGAAGCTGCGCTTCAAGCTGCCCGAGGACGACATGGTTTCTGGTCTCGACGTCGCGAGCGCCATCTTGACCAAGTACAAGGGTCCCGAGGACGAGAAGGCTACGTTGAGGCCTTATACTCCTACCAGCGATGAGGGTTCGTATTCCCCCCCCCCTGGTTTCTTCTTAGGAGTCCTGATCATGCTGCTCGATACCCGAAACTAACAACACGACAGACGCCAAGGGCTACCTCGAGCTCATCGTCAAGAAGTACCCCAACGGCCCCATGTCGACGCACATGCACGACATGACCCCCGGCCAGCGCCTCGACTTCAAGGGACCCCTCCCCAAGTACGCCTGGTCCCCCAACAAGCACGAGCACATCGCCCTCGTCGCCGGCGGCACGGGCATCACGCCCATGTACCAGCTCGCGCGCGCCATCTTCAACAACCCCGAGGACAAGACCAAGGTGACGCTCGTGTTCGGCAACGTGACGGAGGAGGACATCCTGCTCAAGAAGGAGCTCGCCGAGCTCGAGAACACGTACCCGCAGCGCTTCCGCGCCTTTTACGTGCTCGACAAGCCGCCCAAGGAGTGGAGCGGCAACAAGGGCTTCATCAGCAAGGAGCTGCTGAAGCAGGTCCTCCCCGAGCCCAAGAGCGAGAACATCAAGGTTTTCGTGTGCGGCCCCCCCGGGCTGATGAATGCTATTTCTGGTAACAAGAAGAGCCCCAAGGACCAGGGCGAGCTTGTCGGTACCCTCAAG